TCAGGTTGAAGAACACCAATTTTAATCTTCACCGTTTCCTCACTAATTTAGTGCTTGGCTGCGTCGTGTTACGCACCGGAAGATTTTTGTTCTCAATGCAAAACCGACCTGTCGGCTTTCTGGACATTAGGAGATTTCCAGTGTGGAAATTATTAAAAGTATTTTTTTGAAGACTCGTAAACAGAGAAATGCAATTTAAACGCCGAGACGGCCACGAAGGCTTTCTTGCTTGAGCGTTAAGCTGCGGAACAAAAAAGATCTGGCGAGGGGACACGCACACAAAAATGAGCAGAGGATTATTTTTCTTAGAGAAAGCAAGTCAGTAAAGATCAGGATTGCACTTCAGAAGGGAGCGTCGAGGGAGCGCACAAAAGGCTGGTTGGCACAAAGAAGATTGACCAGGGCTTTCGTTTCCCCTTTCACATCATGCAAATCCAAAGCAACAGACAATTATTTGCTTAAAAAAAAAAATAAAAAAAATAAAACCAGTAACTCAAGCCATAATTAATCTGCAGAACCGCTTGCTGCAAAGTATTGCGGCGATAAAATACAGCAGGAATCAAAGCACGGGGGAGGTTGAGCATCTTTAATGAGAGCCAGGACACCCACAGCCACAGCCACCAGGACAAAGGTAGGGAAAAATCAAAGTCATCGTGGTTTTGTGCTTATAAAAGCCGCTGACTAACAAGGTTTGGGGCGAATTATTCGACACCGAACAATGGCGAGGAAACTTCTGAAGGTCGATCCGGCTGTTTTCAAGGAGGAGAGACCGGGGTGGACAGACCCAGGGGCTCCTCGCTGCTGGGTGGAGGACACGGGCTGTAGGTTCTGCTGCCGGAACGATGGGGCTTGAGAATGGGTACCCAAGGTGCTCATCCCTTTTTTCCCCGATTATCCTTCTGTTTCCTTGTTCTCTCCTGGTCTTCCGGACTGTTTCTTCACTGTCTGCGTTGGGGTATCCACTTCTTTCTTGTCTTTGGTGTGAGTGCAAGCAATTTCTTTGCTGGAGAGAAGGAAGCTTGTCCTCCAGCCCACTCCAGGTGGACCAGGTGGGTCCCATTTCTCAAGTTATTCTTACTATCCTAACAGATAGCAAGAAAGCAATCGCACAAAACATCATCCCAGAGGTCTTCTCTGCAGATATCTTGACTATGTATCAGAATTATTGGAGGAAATATCTACAAACGCCCTTTGGGTTCCTGTTCCTCAAGAGGATGAAGGACACCCCAGGCAGGAGGCATCTCAAGCTCTCCTGGCAGGACAGAGAGGAACCCACGGGGAGTCTGTACCCAAGGATGGGCTAAATGTCTTTCTAGAAAGACATTTAGTCTCCACTGAATAAATAGGGACCTGGGCTGGAAGGTCTATAAGGCTAAAGGGAACCAAATCTTCCTTACACGTGGCAATTGCTGCAGCTGTTTAAAATACTTGAGAATTTCCAGTGTTGTTTCTTTTTTTCTTCCTCTCTTTTCAATGTGGAAAATTAAACCGAGCTGAATACAACCTTTCCAGAGGAACGTGCGGATTTCACCGAGGTTTTGCAAAGACAAGTACTTTTTCTTGATAGCAGCTCAGCATTTCTGCTTTTTTGTGGGTTTGGGTTATTTTTTTTTTATTTTCAATTTGTTTCCTACTAGGAACTCCAGTTTCTCAAAGATGGTGTTTGAGATGTACAAGCAAGATGGACATCCCCATCCCCTCAGAATTCCTCGTCCTGCAGAGATTTGGTGTTGCCTCTCACTTGGGTGTCCCCTTGGTCATCTCCTCATTTAGTGGTGGAGCTTCTGCCACCCCTGGCTGAGCTTGGAGGATGTTGCCAGCCTCTGGCAGGACAAGCCACTAATAAATTTGTCATTTTTTTTTTATGCTGTGGAGCTTTTATTTCACTTCACTCTTTCAGTTTTAGATCCTTCAGGGGGAATTCGAGGGTGGCCCAGCACACATCTCCGGGAGCAAAACTTGTTTCACGTTACACGCGAAGAATTTTAATGGGAAGAAAAGCAGCTAGAGACCCTACCGGAGGCACACAAAACCAAACAAACCACAATGGATCCCTTACAGAGTCATCCGCAATAAATGGCTTTATTTGTCAACCTTGCAAAAAAAAAAAAAAATGACAGCTGCGATGTGGAGAAGACAGCACCAAAAGGGTTTGGCAATAAATTTCTGTTTCATCAGCTTTGGAAAGCTCCCAAGCCTGGGGATCCACTGATTTTATGACAACTGGGAGACTTGAAAACTTGGCAATTCCGAGGAGAAAGGGTTTAGCAGGACCGCCACAAAGCCCAGCTTTGTGTTCGTTACGCAAGCATCTATTTCACTCCGACGGCGACTGAACGTTCGGCTGAAAAGGCGACTTTATTCACAAGTTTTAAAATCCCGTGGCTCTTTGGAGGTGAAGCATTCCGGGGAGGAAAAAAAAAAACAAACAACACCTCAGCCAGCCAAAAAGCCACGAAGTCAAAACAAAAGGGCGCGATATAATTTTTCATCTCCAACGCGTGCTTGGAAATGGATGAGCAAGAGATTTCTTTTTCGTAAAAAAGGCACAGACCTGATTTCAGAAACGCTTTTCAATCGCAGTTCAGACACTGCCAATTCTTGCATCTGACCTGTCTGGCCACGTCCCTTAAAGAAAACGCCCTGGTAACACGCTACAGCCTAAAAACCTCAGAGCTAATAAAAACAGTTCTAATCATAGAAGAGTTTAGGGTGGAAAGAACCTTCAGAGATCATCTAGACCAATCTCTCTGCCATGGGCCGGGGCATCTTCAACTAGCTCAGGTTTGAGCAACCCGTCCAACCTGGACTTGAATCCGCAACTGCTCTGGGCAGCAAGATCTCAAGTTTGCTATTAAATAGGAGATTTCATTTACTTATACTACTCTTCACTTAATTCGCTCCAGATAAGAGTTACATTTTCAAACTGCTACTTAGCCTGAGGGTTCTACCAGTCTCTGTCATGCTCCCATCCCACAGATAATTTGGCTGAAAGCAGAGAACTCAACTGTGCTTTAAAAACTCGAGGTTGCTCGGTCCTTCCAAAGGGTTGGTTTGCTTAAACATACGTTTGACTTATGATTGACTTATTATTTCCTGAGTAGGGGCCTAAGAGGAGTCTTTAACACCAAAAAGAAAAAGGTTTCCAAATTTGGGCTCAAAAGCATTAAAGGAGTAATTCATTTAACACAGCAACTGAAATATTCCTTTTTAAGCACAGGACCTCATTAGTCCTTGTTGCGGTGAAGACAACTCCTTGTGGACAGGCAGGAATTAGTCCATAAATTCTGCTTTGGAGTAAGTTCTCTCACTCAACATCAGCAGAAGGTCCACTTTTTCTTGTAAGAAGTGTCCTTGCTGGAAGTTATTTGGCAGCAGCTCCCACAATTAATTTACATTCTGTCCTGAATCTTCATGAATCCATTGCCATACTTCGGTTATAAGCAATTCCCCTGTCTCCCCACCTCATGTAGATGAGATGTTCAACCTCAAAGTGATGGGCAGGGCATGACTGGGTTTGTATTCATGCCACCCACATGCTTTGATGGCTTTCTCCTCTCTAGCTCTCTCCAGCCAGGGAGGAAGGTTCAAGACATGTGTGTTCTCCTCCATCCAGATGTTTCTCTGCATCTGCAGAGCTACATAAACCAGAGCCATGGGTCGGGGTGTTTGGCTAAGAGACAACAGCAGAAATCAGACAGAAGGGAGGTGCAGAGATGGTGCTCACCTTAGCATTTTGTCCAAAAAAGTGGCTAGTGGAGGAATTCAAAAGAGAAATGGCTTTATGGGCAATGAGGGAGAGGAGCAGAAGAAACCAGGGAGATGCTTGCTTGGAAAGGTAAGAGGTGAAGATGACAGACATTGGTGGCTGAGCCAGAAGAGCACTAAGGCTCTGGACACGAAGAAACAACGGAGGAAGTGTTGTTTCTGTAAAAAAAGACAAAAAGTAGACTGTGCTAGATATGAGCAAGAGGGAGGCAAAGAGGGAGTAGGTGGGAAATGTATTTTGTACCAGCTCTGCGGATGGATGGAGGACAATTTGCCAAGTGGAGACTACAAAGAGAGCAGTACTCCAGGATAGGGGCCGAACTGTGGAGGATGAATGTATTATCCATCAGCCGCGACGGTTCAGAGGAACTGCAAAGGAGGGCGCAAAAGAACACGTGGCTGGTGTGAAAAATTAAGATGCCCCTGAAAAATGAAGACCTTGTACCTCCGAGTACGGCTTCCCAGAGATAGATGGGGCATAATGGAGAAGGGAATAACCTGTACAAGCTTTTGTGGAAAGCTGGAAGAGGCAGATGATAAAAGGACCTGCTGGAGCAGCGGTACAGAACAACCTGTCCAACTGGGAAAGCCAAGGGAAAACAAGGTGTTTTGGAGAAGAGTGCAGATGGTGCTGTCACAGATAACCCGCACACCAACGCTAAGGCAGAGGAGTTCCTGAGCTTGGCCAGGGATAGCTTGCTGTGTCTGTAGAAGAGTCATTTAGGGAAGTGTGAAGGGCAGGATCTGGACAGAAGAAGAGTTCATCACGAAAGCAGGATACAGTAAAGACCCAGCGTGAGAGATCCAGAGACCAAACAGGACGCTGCTGCTGACATTTCTGCATCTATGACACGGAAGGAGGTGACAAGGACAAGCAGGGGGAAGGCGAAGGCAATTTCGTGGAGGTTATTGCATGCAGCATTCAGAAAATATTAAAAGCCATCAATGCGCAGGCATCACAGCGATGAGCACTGCCAAACTCCTGGGATTACTATTAAGACACAACTCATGGCTCAAAAGTGCTTTGCAACATAAACAAATATTCTCAATGGAGGACAAAAAATTAGAGGAAGAATTAGGAAGGGAAGAGCTTATCACAGGCTCCTTCCCTGGAAAGTATCTGCTGACGAGGACACGCAAACCGCTGGGTTTTGTACATCGAGCAGCAAGAGGCTAAATCCTTCTGCAACGCTTCAACGTGCCACATCTTGTCTCTATACACAGATTTTTACCTGGGGCGTAGCCAGGGCTGCTGGTTGGATACATGTTTGGGTTGTAGGCTGGGGCAGCGGTGGGATAGCCCGTCGGATAACCTGCAATGAGAAAAAGAAAATAGTTTTAAAAATAAATAAATTACGCTTTTGTCAAGAGGCAGAGAGAAAAGGCCAGCATCCCTGGGAAGCAATAAACAACCTGTGTGAGGAAAGAGGCCACCGGCATTGCTGAGAGGGAAAGCACAGATGTATTCTCAGCTGGCCGGGGTATAGGAAGGACTGTGAATGTGCTCTGCAGGCTTCCACGTGACATCATCAATATTTCAACTTCGCTTCTCTGGAAAGCGAGCAGCGCGATAACCAGAATGCAGGAATGTTCGATGCACTCTGAAGAGAGCTGCTGAGAAAATCCACGCGCTGAATGCAGAATTCAGCTACGAAAACCCACCAGCACAGCCATATATTAACGTTTTCCCTTGGCTGCCTGCAGCCGCTGCAGCTTGACCATCTCTTTGCAGTTCTAACACCCAGCCCGATTCCTCGGCGCTTCCATAAACGAGAGCTTCTCGCGAAAAAGAAGGCAGAGACGTCGCATGAAAATGTGACAGCTCCTCTATTCACCCATGGCTGCACAACCGCCATCCCTGGGGGGACGCGATTACCTGCCAGGCCACCTGGAAGGAACACGCACGGCGGCTCAGATACCCTTTGAAGCCGCGTGAGGCTTCAATGAGCACTTTAGGAAAGGTTGCGGAGCACCTTCAGTTATCGTCACCTTCGCTCGCATCAGTCAGAGGGAGTTCAGGGGAAATCATCTAAGCAGCCAGCCGTGTGGCGGGGCTGGAAATCACCGCAGACCCACGTCCCTGCGTGCGCCCACACACAGAGCAGATGTCTGGCGCCAAACTCTTCCTCTGCCAGAAGTTCTTGTCCTCCCCTCTAGGGTCTGGAGAACAAGTGTGATGAGGAGCG